AAGAACTTTGAACATCTTCCATTCTTGCCGGTCTGTTTGGGAAATGCCATAAACAAGGATATATATATATATATTTATCAAGTTGTAGATACAATCCATATCACAGCTGGTGAATGGATAGGTCTTCTTTCAAAAGCCAGATTGCTTCCATCAGTTTGCAATAAATTTGCAGAAAGAAAAAAAAAGAAAGAAAGAAAGAAAGAAAGAAAGAAAGGGAGAAAGAAAGAAAGAAAGAAAGAAAGAAAGAGGAAGGAAGGAAAGAAAGAAAGAAAGAAAGAAAAAGAAAGGAAGGAAGGAAGGAAGGGAGGAAGAGAGGAAGGAAGGAAGGAAGGAAGGAAGGAAAGGAGGGAGGGAGGGAGGGAGGAAGGAAGGAAGAATAATGTATAATAATTTGATGCATTCTCAAAGGATTTCATATAAGGAAAAGGCTATGTAGAAATAGAAGTCAATAAAAGAGAATATTTGTAGCCGAGATTGAGCTGAGAGATCTTTAGTACTCTCTGAGCTTGGTGGTTTTCTTGCAGACATTTCATGACCCAACTAGGTAACATCATCAGTGGGAGGAGGAGAAGGAGGATTGTGGGGTCCTTGGTAGACTAGATAACATCATCAGGCTTAGTTGATGAGATCAACATCAGATGACTAGCGCTGACGATGCAATCATGAAATGTCTTCAAAAAAAACCCCAAGCTCGGAGAGCACCAAGGACCCCTCAAATAGACGTCAAGAGATTCTGCTTTTCACATTTTGGGGTAATGAAATCTGTGGAGCGATGTTTCTCAAGCTTGGCAACTTGAAAGTGGGTGGACTTCAACACCACCACCACCCCGAATTCCCTAGTCAGCATGGAATTCTGGGAGTTGAAGACACCCCCCCCCCCCCATCTTCAAGTTGCCACGCTTGAGAAGTGTAGAAGGCACTTCCTGGTCTTGACTTCGTCAAGCGTGGAAGCGAAGCTGGGCCAGATCTGGTTAGCCACTTGGTTGAGAGGCTGACAGAAAAGTCCAGGTTTTTCAGTTCAACTGGTAAGTTGAAAAAAAAAAACATCTGGAAGAAGGTGGGGACCAGCCATTTCTGAATTGCATACAGGAAAATCATGTGGATGTCGGACCTGGGTTGGCTTAGGGTCATGTTGAAAGAGACTCGGCTTTTGAGTGAACTGGAGGTTAAATTTGGCCCTTCCCGGTCCAGCTATTTCCCTTGTAGATTTTCTTCTGAATATCTTGAGTCGGCCGTTCCCCTGTCCTCCTTCCTAGCCACGTTGACCCAGCGCCTGCAAGACAAAAGGCAGAAACTGTGGACTTGGGAAAGGAAGGAGGCTCCAACGGTTTGGAGCCTCTTGTCATTAAGAGCTGGAACGAGGCAATATATCACGTTTTGGCGCCGTGTACCGAATGCAACTCTCCAGATAGCAGGTTTAAAGTCAAGATTTAATACGGCCCTCTCCACCGTGATGCTGCAGTGACAGTTTAAAACTCGTTCTTTAAATCTCAGCAGACTTTATAGCCAGCAGAGGGCCAATATAGAGTTTAATGGCATTACGAGGCATAAATCATCTTTTAAAGATGCTACCAGTAGCTCCAAAATTAAATGCAGGCAATCTCCCTCCGTGATAAATAATTTATCAAACACCATTTCGGATGAGCTCTCCACGCCGAGTTATTTATTTTAGCCTTTACTGCTCAATTCCTCCGGCGCGCATTCGCGGATCCATTACTGGTCAGTTTTAATGAACTTGGGGGGTCTGCCGTGGCCTCTTCCCCGCCGTTTGGCACAGCTGCGGTGACCATTAGGCGGCTGGCCTGGTCCTCTTTGCGCCTTTTACAAGCCCGGCCCATTTGTCTTGCGCCGGTAAATGGCGGAGCACATCGGAGTCCGGGGACACATTACACGATGTAGCAACAGCGCACAAGCCGCCTGGCCTGGATAGAGTTGCTTTGTCGCAGCTGACTTGAAATATAGCGCACGACTGTTAACTGTAATCTCATTTATGGGAGATTTCTGGGCTGGGGGCTGCGGTTCCCGGGGTAGCGTAGACCCTGCAACCTTGAAGGAGGGTCTGAGATGAAGCCCCAAACTTTTAGGAGACTTCTTCCCAATTAATTATTGTGCAATTTCCTCGGCCAGCACCGTCGTCAAATGTGCATTTTGAGTTTTATAGAGGGGCTGTCAGCGTTTTCCTGATTGGACCGTGTTTTTTTAAAACTTTTCGGTGGTTAAGATGACCTTGAAGGCTAAACCGCGGGATGGGTTTTTTTTTTCCCCTCCAGAAGGTTGTTCTGGGTTGTCTGAACCGACATCCCAGGTCTAGATAATGTTCCTGGCCTGTGCAGCTGCTCCGTGGGTCTGTAGGAAGGATTTAAGCAAGGAGTTGGTTGAAATACCGCACGGGTTTTAGGCAGGTCTGTCTGAATCTCATTAGGAGATTGGGGTGAGCCACTTGCGGATCCGTGGCATTGAACTTCCAGGGTTCCCCAACGAGAGCATCATAGGGTCATCTACTTGAGCAGAAGGTTGGACAAGAAGACCTCCATGGTCCCTTCCAACTCTTGTTATTCTGAGTGTGCTGGCTGGGGAATTCTGGGAGTTGAAGGCCACCCAGAATTGGCCAATGAAGACTTTGATTGCCCAGGGGAAGTGACTTCCTAGCTAAAGTTGAAAAAGAGACCCCGATGAAGAGGATCTCCAGCAGTTGAGTCCTTCTCCTGCCCTCGTAGAAGAGGACAACTTTGGACATCTGCCGGGGAGTCCCACCATACCACTTGGCTTAGCAGAATTAAGTTGGGGGTATTGACCTGACAAGCCAGGTCCTGAATTGAGAGCCAGCTCGGTGTGTCTGTGTGTGTGTCTCGAAATTAGGAGTAATAAGGTTCCTGCAAATGAGCAAAGAAGAATTAGACAGGTACACACATACACACACACGCCTGCACCAGCTTTTTGGCACGGAGGAGATTTGCAGCTGAAATAATTGAGCTGTGAGAATCTGGGCCTCTTGTCTGGAGGGTCTCCCGAGAGGCCTGAACATGTGCTGGGAAGGGGCTCAATTGCCCACTGGGGCCCTCTTCTTTGCTGCTACGCACAGCAGCTGCTGCCGCAAGAAAAAAGAGAGCCTTTAGGGTTAAAGAGAAGCACACGGCCTGGGTCTTGAAGCTTTGGCCGTGAGGATGTGGAACGTGCCTTCCCACCCCCCTTGCTCGGCCTTGTACGATGAGGGGCCCTGGGGTGGGTTAGGTCCAAGGTCCCCAACCCTGTTCGAAACTGGGCCGCGGGAGCTCTTCTCCAAAGCGCCTGAAGGCAGGACAAGAAGCAACGGATGGAAACTAACCAAAGAGAGAAGCAACCTAGAACTAAGGAGAAACTTCCTGACAGTGAGAACAATTAACCAGTGGAACAACCTGCCTCCAGAAGTGGTGAATGCTCCAACACTGGAAGCTTTTAAGAAGAGACTGGACAGCCATTTGTCCGAAATGGGATAGGGTTTCCTGCCTGAGCAGGGGATTGGACTAGATGACCTCCAAGGTCCCTTCCAACCTCCTCCTCCTCCTCCTCCTCCTCCTCCTCCTCCTCTTCTTCTTCTTCTTCTTCTTCTTCTTCTTCTTCTTCTTCTTCTTCTTCTTCTTTTCTTCTTCTTCTTCTTCTTCTTCTTCTTCTTCTTCTTCTTTTCCTCTTCTTCTTCTCTTCTTCTTCTTTCTTCTCCTCTTATTCTCTTTTTCTTTTTCTTTTTCTTCTTCTTCTTCTTGTTATTATTATTATTATTAAATGGGCAAGCAGACGGGCGAGAAACTCCATCGAGTGTAGATTCAGGCATGACATGTTCCGTGTTTCCCCGAAAATAAGAGCCAACCGGAAAACTAGCCCTACCGTGATTTTTTTTCCCCCTCAGGACACTCATATAATATAATATAAGCCCCATCCCCAAAATAAGCCCCAGTTAAGATCGTCAGCCAGATGGACGCATTTCCCCGAACATAAGCCCTAACTGGAAAATAAGCCCTTAATTCGTCTTTTGGAGCAAAAATTAATATAAGATCTGTTCTTATTTTCTGAGAAACATGTTACCTGCCTCCCCCCCACGCACACAGCTGGAAAATGTTGGGGACTGCTGGGTTAGGTGGTCTGGACAGGGTCTATGAGACAGAGAGACAGGTTTTCCAGAGCGAACGCCTGCAAAAGGTGCTGAAACTCTACAGTTCCTCTAAGATTTGGTCCTCGGACTTTTCATTCTTCTCTCCAACCTCACGTCAGATATGACTTTCTTTCTGTGCGTGCCAAGCTCCCTCTGGGCCAAGGAAGACTTTGATTGCCCAGAGGAAGCGACTTCCTAGCTAAAGTTGAAAAAGAGACCCTGATGAAGAGGATCTTTAGCAATTGAGGCCTTCTCCTGCCCTCTTAAAAGAGGACACCTTTGGACGTCTGCTTGGGAGTCCCACCACACCACACCTTGGTTATCTGCTATCCTGGAAAAGGAAGACTTGAAAAACCGGCCGTTGGTTGAGTTTGTGGGCTGGGTCTCAAAACGCTGACCCATCGGTCCCTATCCACTGCTTTCACTCCGGACGGGATTGTCCAGGACAGCCTTGGAAATATTGGGTCCCTTTTTCTTGATGGCCCTGTAGAGGGTGCTGATGCGATGGGAGTTGCTTTTTGTGGTGTGTTAATACGGCCACTTTTGCAGGCTAAAATACGGCCAAAAGTGTCCGTTTTCTCCTGGAGAAAAAAAATAATCAAAGAGGAGTGCAGATTTTGTGGTTTTTTTAAAAATGTATTTTTATTCTAATTTTTGTACCTCGTTCCCCTTGTGAATACCAAAGCGATTGCAGGCGGCGCTTCCTTAAATGCGTGGGGAAAAAATAATCATTTTAGGTCTGAGCAATACCAAATACTTGTTTTATTTTTCAGCTCAGGAAAGAGGGAGTTCCTCTCCCCCCCCCCCCATTGAACTTTGGATTTCTTACATTTTGCGTGGTTTTTTTTTCCCCTCCCTCTCCTCCCCCCCCCAGGAAGAAGAGGCCAAACAGCTGGTAAAAGATGCTATTTCAGCTGGCATATTTAATGATTTGGGCTCTGGCAGTAATATCGACCTCTGCGTCATCAACAAGAGCAAATTGGATTTCCTCCGTCCGTACAACACCCCGAACAAAAAGGGGGAAAGGTGAGTTTGTGTGTGTTGGCGTGAACCAGACAGGGTTTTGCTGGAGAAGAGTCACCAAGTGTAAGGACCCACCCCACTTTACATCTTAAGAAGACAGAACTCTTGGGATATCTCTTCCAACAGGCATCTTTATTAAGAGAAGATGGTTGCAGGCGTTCTAGACAGGATCTGAGGGGCCAACCCCTTACCATTCAAGGTTTTAAGTGGTCCCAAGCAGCCCCCACCCCACCGTCCTTCCAGCGACGATCCCAGGCGTTACATTTCCACCCCTTTTTCCTCACTGCCGGCAGAAGGGAGACTTCAGAGAGAGAGTAGATGAAAGGCTGTGGCCATATTGTTATGGTCAGTCCTCTTGATTCCCCTTTCGTAGTATGACAGAATCCACAAAGAGTAAGAAATGGATCTTTTTTCAAAGTCGGTAGCTAGAATTGAAATATAATTGGTTTCTGACACCAAGTCTATGGAGATTCTCCGTCCTCCAGGTTGTGGTTATCTCAAAGGTGCTTTTTCAGGAGGCCACTGGACTTTCTTGCTTTTCTTCCGAGGACGTTTCGCTTCTCATCCCAGAAGCTTCTTCAGCTCTGACTGGAATGGTGGGAAATGGAAGGATTTAGACTCCTTGCAGACCGCTGCTTATTTGCACCCTTTTAGAGTGTCTTTGATGCCACCTGTACTAAAATAAACTTCCAGGTGGCCTCAGTGACGTTTCACTTCTCAACCGCCTCAGTTCTGACTGAATCTGAACACCTCACGTCAGAACTGAAGACGCTTCTTGGATAAGAAACGAAACGTCTTCACGGAAAACCAAAGTAAATCCAGTCACCTCTTGAAAAAAACACCTTTGGGATAACCTGCCAATGATTAATCAGTGCATCAACATAGGCCAGGGGTCTTCAGACTTGCCCCTTTGATGACTTGTGGACTTCAACTCCCAGAATTCCTCACCACAAGTCATCAAAGGGTCAAGTTTGAAGACCACTGAGCTAAGGAGAATAGGAAGAACAACATCCTGCTGAGGAATTCTGGGAGTTGAAGTCCACAAGTCATCACAGAGCCAAGTCTGAAGACCCCTGACTTAGGCTATCACAAAGGGATTCAGGCTGTGGGACACGAGGCTGAACAGGCCAGGTGAAGGCTTCAGCTCCACAGGGCCTTCCGAAGGAGATGCACGGAAAATGGAAAGGCAAGTGAACCTCCTTTGTTTTTGCTTGAAGATGCTTCGCTTCTCATCCCAGAAGCTTCCTCCGTTCTGGCTGAACGGTGGGGAATGGAAGGCTTTGTGTTTGGTTAGAACTGAAGCAGCTTCTTGGATGAGAAGCGAAACGTCCTCAAGGGGAAAACAAAACGAGAAAGTCCAGGCGCCTTTTGATAAAAGCACCTTTGGGATAACCGTGTGCGTGTGTTTCTAGTCCTTAAGATTCCCTAAATCTCTCCGGGAAAAGGCTTGCTGGTCCGCTGTGTAGGATAGCAGCCTGGGAGAGATACTCAAACTGCAAGGTTTTGTGACGGTGCCGGTTTTGCTCCTCCGACAGGCAAGGAAAATACCGGTGCGAGAAGGGAACCACGGGTGTCCTGTCGGAAAAGGTCATCCGTCTGGAACTGGAGGTGGCGGAGGAGACGGTGCAGACCATGGACACCTCCTGATTCCCGGCGGAGAGTGCCCAGGACACATTTCGGGGACCGAGAGTATTCCTTTGGTGTCGAAATAACCTTTTGCAATGTTATAATTTACACGAATAAAACAAATAATAGAAACCAGACGGGCTGGCTCTTGTAATTTGGGGGGGGGCAGAGAAGAGTCTCCTAGCCCATTATGCTCTACCTGTTGGGATGTCAACTTTATGGGTTTGGATAGAGGTAGTTCTAAACCTTGCGTTTCGTGACCGTTCGGAGTTATACCCCCGCTGAAAAAGGTATCCCACTGCTGTTTTTCACACTTCACAGAGAAAAGCAACAAAGATGATCAGGGGACTGGAGGCTAAAGCATATAAGGAACGGTTGTTGGAATTGGGTCTGTCTAGTTTAATGAAGAGAAGGACGAGGGGGGACATGATAGCAGTCTTCCAGTATCTCAGGGGCTGCCCCAAAGAAGAGGGAGTCAAGCTATTCTCCAAAGCGCCTGAAGGCAGGACAAGAAGCAACGGGTGGAAACTAACCAAGGAGAGAAGCAACCTAGAACTAAGGAGAAACTTCCTGACAGTTAGAACAATTAACCAGTGGAACAACCTGCCTCCAGAAGCGGTGAATGCGCCAACACTGAGAGTTTTTAAGAAGAGACTGGACAGCCATTTGTCCGAAATGGTATAGGGTTTCCTGCCTGAGCAGGGGGTTGGACTAGATGACCTCCAAGGTCCCTTCCAACTTTTATTATTATTATTATTATTATTATTTTACAACGGTTGCAAACTCCCCACGGTCACGTGATCAAAATCCAGAGGCTTGGCAACTGACACGTACTTAAAGACGGTTGCAGGATCCCGGGAGAGTCAGGCGACGAGTCCCCCTTTGCGGCCTTTTTGGCAAGCTAAGTCAAGGGGGAGGCCAGTCTCACTTTACAACCGTGTCACTCGCTGAACAATTGCGGCGATCCACTTAATAACTGGGGCAAGGAACGTCGTAAAGTGGGGCAACGCTCACTTAACAACTCTCCCGCTTAGCCACCTAAAGAGGGACGCAATGGGCGTCCCGGTTTTCAAGCCCCTCATCGGCGCCAACTCAGCGGACCCTTTCTTTTTTTTTTTACAAAGAAAACTTTTATTTGGGTAAATGGTTGGAAGTCTCGCCTAAAAATGCATAGTTGCCTTTCCCCCCCCCCTTCCCTTTTCTGCAAAAAGACGACTTAAAGCACTAACAAGAGACCTGAACAGTGGCGCATGAGAGATAGAGAGTGCAGTCAGGTGGAGCCGAGCGATCTTTTTAAACTTCCCCAACAGCCCAAAACCTTTTCAAAGCTGTACCCCAAAAGTAGGTAGCCTTCCCACCCAATCCACACACACACACACACACATCCCCAAAAAACCGCCTGCAAAGCGATGGAAACCTTTCGGAAGAAGAGAACCCTAAGCAGCTGGAGACAGTTGCAGGATCTTGGCGAGAAAGTCAGCCCACATCCCACCCATCCTGCTTCTCACTTGGGCAGCCGTTCCTAAAACCCTTTGTTCCAAGCTGGGGACTTAATTAGCACCGCTGCTTTTCTCAAAAATGCAAAAAAAACCCAAATCCCCTGCCAGTAGGTGGTATCTTTTAATCTTTCCAGGAGAAACTTTTTTCCCCCCTCCCCGCTGTTACCTCCTGTTCTAAAAAGTGCTTGCAGAAAAAAAGCTAATGGCTACCCTTCCCGAAGCCGGGCCCCCGAGAATCCTGGTTGCAAGGGATGGCGATCCCCCAAATTAAGGAACCGTAAGTGGCTCCGTCAAATAAAACACTGAAACCTTGCATCTCCGGAACGCTTAAGTCTGATTATTTTTTTTTCTCTTTTCCTTCAGATCAGCTTGTTTTAAAAATTCACATTGGTAAATGGGTTTTCACAGTAAAGAAGCAGGGAATTCAAAACCGCATTCCTCTGGACTTACCTGGCTTTGGTGGCCCATGGAGGGGGTGCCACATGAATTTTAGGGGTTCGACCCTGGTTAGAGATGGGCTTTACAGAACGGTACCCAGCGCTCATTGGCTACGGAGTCTCGTAGCGGCCGTGGCAATCTCTTAACCAGGAAAAAAAAAAAACCACGACAAAACACGACACTCCTTTGGTTTGAAGCCCACCCAGGTCTCGGGAGCCAGAGTTGACAACACACACCGCAAAATAGTCATTCTAAGGGTTTGCTTTTAAAAATAAAATAAAATTCATCCTCTTCCATACCACTTTTTTTGCAACAGAAGGAAATACAAATTAAAACGCAGGTCGGATGTCTGTTTGTTTACAAAAAAAAAAAGGTAATACATGAACTAAAAACTGAACTTACTAATAACCACTGCTAGAAGAAGCAAAGTAGCAGTTATACACATTACAGGCCCCCCTCCCCACAAAAAAAAACCTATTGCAATTCTTACGTTAGGATTAAAGTGATTTCCCCCAAGGAATTAATTTCCCCAATATTTCACATTAGTTAAGATACAAGGGGTATGTCAAAATACACCAATCAGAAACCCTTGCTATATAGCCTAACTTAGATTACACACAACGGTTTGAAGAAAGGATCTTTTTTAAAAAAAAAAAGAGAGAGAGAGAGAGAGAGATCTACATCGGTAACATGTTATCCGGTTCCGGAAGAGGCAACTCATGCTGGCGACCACATCGCACCGCCGTGGCTGGGAGCAGATCCACCCGCCGGGCGCCTGTACAGAAATCATGGAAGGATCTTCCTACGAAGGCTCAACTCCAACCCATTTTTTGAGTTCGATGAGGCACCGCTTGGTTTCGTCTGAGACAGAAGTTAAGTAAGACTAAGCTGGGAACCGTTCTCCTTGCAGAGCGCGGAGCCACGCTTCAAGTGCTGGACGTCCAGACGTGCATCTGTTTCACTAACTGGTGCACGTAACTAATATCGGGCCTCTGATCTGGATCCGGGTAGATACACATGCTGACCAGCTCCCGCAGCTGTGAGGAAAGAAAAGAGGGTGGTGAACACACAACGGTCCATCCCTCTGGACCATCCAGATGTGTGTGTGTGTGGGGAAGAAGCCACCACAACAGTCTAATCGACAGTAGATACTGTCAAGTTTCTAGGTTCCGTAGTAGCTCAAGACTTGAAACGGACACCTAACGTCAAAAATGTCATCAAAAAAGCACGACAATGTTCTTCCCGCACCAACTCGGAGAACTCAGACGGCCCAAGGAGCTGCTGACACAGTTTTAGAGGGGAATTATTGAGTTTGTGACCTTTATAACTGTCTGGTTTGGCACAGCAACCGAACAGGACAGGCACAGACTTCAACGGATAGTTAGGAGTGCAGAAAAGCCACCAGCCTGCCTTCCACTGAGGACCTGTGTACTGCACAAGCCAGGAAGAGGCCCGTGAAAATATCTCCAGACCCCTCACATCCTGGACATAAACTCTGTCAACTTCTTCCCACTCTAGAGCATTGGACACCAAAACAACTAAAGCACAAGGATAGGTTTTTTTCTCCCGTGCCATCGCTCTGCTAAACAATTAATTCCAACCACATTGGCTTACACCCAAGGACGTCAAACCACGTAGTAGGGCCGTATGACTATTGTCCTTCTCATCGTTCCTATTACCTATTTCTTTAGCACCTTATGACTATCACTTTGTTGTTTGTATCTTAACGATTTAGGTTGATTGCTTTGATTCGGCACCCTGTTATGATTTACGCTCATTTCTTATTTAGTATCCGATGACTATCACTGAGGGCTGTATCTTGTGATTTATGACAACTGTATTTCATGATTATGATCATGATTTATCACTTGTGTACGCCGAGAGCTTCTGCACCGGAGACAAATTCCTTGTGTGTGTCCAACCACACTTGGCCAATAAAGCATTCTATATCTATTAAAAAAAAAGAGAGAGAATTTCCAGGAGGGAGTGGAGAATGCTTGGAGGACACCCAACAGAGGTTCTCCAACCCAAGGAATGTTTGGCTGGCTTTTCTGGCAGGATTCGAAATGGGGCTTTGGGCCGCTTCCCAGATTCTTTATTGGGCGGGAGCCATGCGGTGGGACGGTCCATAAGAAGAGAGAGGTTTTCCCAGCGTCTTCTGATTGAACCAACTCGTTCTCCGGAAACTCCTCCTTCCAAAGAGTTTGCTTCTGGGGAGCTACTTGAGATGGACATCCTGCCCCGTGGTGACCTACTTGCTCCTTTGCTCGCATAATCAAGAGATGGAGAACAGCCACCCCTCGGCTCTTTTCATTTGGCACTTGAAAGACCGGGAGCTTTTAATTACAAGCCCCAGGAAACAGCGCATATAGCCTGTGGCACCGAGGAAAAACAGAACCGCTTGATCTTCTCCCCTCCTCTCGACGGCCAGAGAGGGAATGATTTCAACGGTAATTAGAAGGATGGCTGTCCCACATCCAGGCCCGGTGGATCGGGCAAAGCTCTCCAGGCAGAGGTCAATGTGGCATTTAATAAAATCAAATCAAATAGGAGGGCTGAGGGCAGGAGGGGGAAGAGGCTGGGCCCAGGGCAATTTGGATGGAGCTGTGAGAGGTTCAAGCGACTGCCTTGTTCTCTATCGATGCTCAAATTGCACGAATTGTTCTATAGGCAGTGGAACACAAGACAAGGATGCAAGACAATTCCTGATGACGCTCTCTCGTGAACGTCCTCCGGCACGCTGGCCTTGGTGCCGCCATGCCTGAGTGAGCCACGTTCCAGATCCTGTTGCTCAAAGCCTCTTTGGAGCTGCTGCCAAGCGGTCTTCTCACCCTGGGTTGTATGGTTAGATGTATGGTTAGCAGTGCCAGAGAGAAACCAACTGGTCGTAACTGGAGAAGCAGGAGGTGGCATCTGTCAACCTGAACTAATTCCTCCTGTCACAAAGCAGATTCCAAAAGAGCTGGAATGACCGGTTGGACAAGGCTAGGGATAATCTTTGAGGGAACCCACAGTCAGGTCTGTGGGTCACCTGGATGGCCGAAGCGGGCCCTTTGCGCATCAGCAATCAAACACTTTCAAAATCCCACGTGATGGGAAGCCCACATTATTTAGTTAAGACAGGTAGTCCTCAATTTACAACTCCTCACTTAACAACTGTTCAAAGGTAGGACCTCCCCAGGGCTACCTATGACCCATTTTGGGAGTTACGACGGCCATACATGCCTCTGGAGTCATGGGATGATATTTTGGGCATTTGGCAAAACGCCCATCGAGGACAATGGAATTGCTCAATGATCGTGGTGTTTGATTGACAACCCCTGCAAAATATGGGCTCAATTAGCTGAGGACTCCCTGTAGCTAAGTTAGTAGTAGTTGTTGTTAGCCGTGAAGTCATGTCCGACCCATTGTGACTCCATGGACAACGTTCCTCCAGGCCTTCCTGTCCTCTCCCATCTTCTGGAGTCCATTTAAGCTCACGCCTACTGCTTCAGGGACTCCATCCAGCCACCTCATTCTCCGTTGTCCCTTTCTTCTCTTGCCCTCCATCTTTCCCAGCATTAGGCTCTTCTCCAGTGAGCCCTTCCTTCTCCTTAGGTGGCCAACGTTAGTAGTAGTAAGTAGTAAATTAGTAAGCCAATAGATCAGGAGCTGAGCAGCAAAGATTCCTGCACTTCCTGGCCAGAGGTGACCAAGGTGGCTTTTTCTGCAGAGACAAGGTGGCTTTTTCTGCAGAGACAACCTGGATTCTGCACAAGCTACCGGATCCTGGTTTTTCCTAACAAGGCGAGGCCTATCCGAGGGAAACTTTGGGAACGGGGTCCTGAGAAGAACACACACACCCCCTTTGCATTCACGGAGAGCAGTTGGTGGGCTTTCAAAGAAGTAGCCATCTCAACGGCATTTGCAAAGTCTTAAACTGGTTCTATTTTTCGGCTGGACGCAGGAAAGCAACAGCCAGCCAGCTCCCAAGCATGCCCTCCTCGTGTCCCCCCCCCCCCCGGTACATTTCGCAAGCAATTAAGATCAATCAAAGCTGGGCCTTTGAACTTCCTGGAAAGCCATTCCTGACTTGAAGTGATCCAGAACTGAACGAGATGACGAGAGCTATCCAAATCTCCCTGGAGGCCACGCTAGGCGACACACCTGGGAAAGAAACCCAGTTAGGATGCCCCTGCGCCCTCCTTCCTTCCCCTGGCATCCTCGAACCCTCCCTGCTTTCAAAGACCACCCGCCCAGCTTGAGCAATCCAACAGGGAAAGTTTTAAGGTGTTTTGTTTTTCCTGGCGTGACTTTGCAAGCTTCTTCCCCCTACCGAGGCTTCGGTACCAGGCAGAAGGGAGCGTTCTGGCCCTCTGCCAGGATCTCTCTTACCTTTTCAGAGTAATGCTCGGCTGGCAGAGGTGGGTAATCGCACTGCTCGATCTTTTGACAGAGGGAGAAAAGGTTCATTTTGTCGCCGTAGAAGGGGCTCTGAAGAGCTGCCATCTGGGAAGAAAGGGTTTGAAGAATGAGGGACGCCGCGGAAGAGATCTGCCTTAAAGCTCGCTTCGCTCTGAGCAAAGGGTGCCCAGATTGTTTGGTCCAGCTGTTTGGCTGACGAGACCTCTATGCTTTGAAGACTGGCTGGAATGGATCCCTGGCTGGGACAGTCAGAACAGAACAGAACAGAACAGGAGCTGGACGAGACCTTGGAGGTCTTCTAGTCCAGCCCCCTGCTCAAGCAGGAGAACCTAGACCAAGGGTAGACAACCTTGGCTCTTTTATGACTCGTGGACTTCAACGCCCAGAGTTGGCTCAGGAATTCTGGGAGTTGAAGTCCACGAGTCATAAAAGAGCCAAGGTTGCCTACCCCTGACCTATACCAACTCAGACAAGTGACTGTCTAGCCTCTTTTTAAAAAATCTCCAGTGATGGAGCGCCCACGATTTCTGGTGCAAGCTGTTCCCCTGGTTAATTGTCCTCCCTGTCAGGAAGTTTCTCCTTAATTCCAGGTTGCTTCTCTCTTTGATCAGTTTCCAACCATTGTTTCTTGTCCTGCCCTCTGGTGCTTTGGTGAATAACGTGGCAGCCACTCATATACTGGAATACTGCTATCATGTCTTTGTGGCAGCCACTCATATACTGGAATACTGCTATCATGTCTCCCCTATTTCTTCTTTTCTTTAGACTGGTCGCCTCAGAAACCAGCATATTGATTCTAGATATCAGCTGCTCACAATGGTATTTTTCCAACTATTAATTTTCTTTCAAAGGGCCAAAGAGGCAGGCTGGCCTTAATAGAAACCTCAGAGTGTTTTTAAAGAAAAGATTAGACAGCCATTGGTTTGGAATGGTATAGAGTCTCCTACTTGAACAGGGGGTTGGACTAGAAGATCTCCAAGGTCCCTTCCAGCTCTGTTATTCTATTCTATTATATTCTGTTCTGTTCTGTTCTGTTCTGTTCTGTCCTGTCCTGTCCTATCCTATCCTATTCTCTCTTCCATTCCATTCTATTTTCTGTTCTGCTCTATATTCTATTCTATTCTGTTCTGTTCTGTTCTGTTCTGTTCTGTTCTATTCTATTTTCCATTCCATTCTATTTTCTGTTCTGCTCTATATTCTATTCTACTCTATTCTGTTCTGTTGTTTTCTATTCCATTCCATTTTCTATATTCTATTCCATTCCAGTCCATTTTCTATATTCTATTCTATTCTAGTCCATTTTATATATTCTATTCTATTCTATTCTATTCTATTCTATTCTATTCTATTCTATTCCATTCCATTCCATTCCATTCCATTCCATTCCATTCTATTCCATTTTCTCTATTCTATTCTATTCTATTCCATTTTTTCTATTCTATTCTATTCTATTCTATTCTATTCTATTCTATTCTATTCTATTCTATTCTATTCTATTCTATTCTATTCTATTCCCTATTCTATTCTATTCTATTCCCTATTCCATTCTATTTTCTATTCTGCTCTATATTCTATTCTATTCTATTCTATTCTATTCTATTCTATTCTATTCTATTCTATTCTATTCTATTCTATTCTATTCTATTCTATTCTATTCTTCCATTCCATCCCACTCCACTAATGATATTGGTGTGCCGGGCTGCCCACCCCAGGCCCATCCAGATGAATCAGGGAAGGCCACCCAGACTAGAACATTCCCCTTGATTGGGGACCACCCTCCCCGGGACAGGAATAATGACTCCAAAAATGGAAGACTCGGCTTGGCCAGGTCCAAACGTTGAAGAAAGCCAATGTAAGCAAAGAGAAGTCTATCAGGTTCCTGTGCTCCTCGCCAGCCATGGGGAGCTCTGCCACCACCCCAGAGATGCTCAGAGGATTCAAAGCGGGTCTCTCTTCAAGGGAATGACCAGTTCTCTCTCTCTCTCTTCCCTGCACACAGAGAGTTGGGTCTGTGTTCAAAGGGAACGCCTCAAGCAAGCAAGCCAGGCCAAGCCTGGTGGGCAAGGCAGCCCCCACCGCCATCCCGGTCTCCTGGGCAGGCCCAGCGGCTTATTAATCCTTAATGCTATTCAAGGGCTCCCCTGTCACTCTCGCTATCCTCCCCTGCTCCCAGCCCCCCCCAAGACAATGAAAGACACCCCCCTCCTCCTCATTAAGCACTATTGGATAATTGTGGATATTATGCACTCTGGCCAGATAATCCCTTTTTCCCAATTCGTTTGGAAGCAAGGCGGGGACAGATTGGGAAGCTTTTGTCTTCTTCTGCGGATCCTTCGGGCTCCCGGCTTTAATGAGGAGTTGGATCGTGGTTAAGTCATGGGCAGTTCAATCCCCAGCTACAAAGAGCACCTCCTAACGAGAGACTAGTTTTAAAAGGGGAAGGGGGATCTCATTTCCAACCCTGTGTAAAGCCTTCCTTGATATTTGCTGCAGGCGTGGCTCCCGGTCAAGGGAAAGGCGAGAACGGAGAGGAACCCATGCAGGTGTAAAAGAAAAAAAGATGTTGAGACTTTGGAAAAAGTTCAGAGAAGAGCAACAGAGAGGATCAGGGGACTGGAGGCTAAAACATAGAAGGAACGGTTGCTGGAATTGGGCATGTCTGGTTTAATGAAAAGAAGGATTTTGGGGTGGGAGGACGAGAGCAGAATTCCAGTATTTGAGGGGCTGCCCCAAAGAAGAGGGAGTCAAGCTACGGATGGGAACTTATCAAGGAGAGAAGCAACCTAGAACTAAGGAGAAATTTCCTGACAGTTAGAACAATTAACCAGTGGAACAATCTGCCTCCAGAAGTGGTCCCTTCCAACTCTGTTATTCTATTCTATTCTATTCTATTCTATTCTATTCTATTCTATTCTATTCTATTCTATTCTATTCTATTCTATTCTTCTATATTTTATTCCTATTCTATTCTATTCTATTCTATTCTATTCTATTCTATTCTATTCTATTCTATTCTATTCTATTCTATTCTATTCTATTCTACTCAACTCTACTCTACTCTACTCTACTCTATATTGCTTAGCCGATGGGTCACCAATGGTCCATACTGGTTCCATCTTCTCAAGGAAGAGAAAAGTTTTACTTGTCTTAAGATTTGGAGAGCAGCACTTAAGGCAAGCTTCTCAACTCAAGGACATCCCTGTCTTAAGGACCTCCAAACCCAGATCATACCCTCAAAGGAAAAAAAACCCATTAGAAACCAATTGTCGTCTGAATAAGAGCTGGTCCAGCAGAACCATCCAGATGTTGTCTTCTAGACAAACACCTCGACCTCTCCCAAAAGGCTACTGGGTAGGACCAGGGTGGAGACCCCCAAATGATGTTCTTAAGAACAATCTGACATTTAATAATAATAATAATAATAATAATAATAATAATAATAATGATGATGATGATGATGATGATGATGATGTTGGAAGGGACCTTGGAGATCATCTAGTCCAACCCCCTGCTCAGGCAGGAAACCCTATACCGTTTCGGACAAATGGCTGTCCAGTCTCTTCTTAAAAACTTCCAGTGTTGGGGCATTCACCGCTTCTGGAGGCAGGTTGTTCCACTGGTTAATTGTTCTCACTGTCAGGAAGTTTCTCCTTAGTTCTAGGTTGCTTCTCTCCTTGACTAGTTTCCATCCGTTGCTTCTTGTCCTGCCTTCAGGTGCTTTGGAGAACAGCTTGACTCCCTCTTCTTTGGGGCAGCCCCTGAGATACTGGAAGACGGCTATCGTGTCCCCCCTCGTCCTTCTCTTCATTGAGTGAGAAGCATCAAAGAGAAGCTTTGCCAAGATCCTTTCAGGGGTGGCCTAACAGATACCCCAGCCGCTCCTCCCCACGGAAATGGATTGTCTGGTTAGAACAGCAAAAGCTGCTGACGCTCCCAGCTATTTATTTATTTTTATTTTTATAGAAATGAGAGAGAGAAAGAGAGAGAGAGAGAGAGAGAGAGAGAGAGAACTAACTGATCTTTTGCCAAGTTATCTGGATGACACTCTCCGACAGAAGGGGGGGGGGNGGGGGGGGGGACAAAGCTTCACGCACACACACACACCCCAGTTTTGATCAGATGCGTCCTCGTACATCCACCGGGGGCTCGTAAACGTCAAGATAAGGGGGCATAATTCCAAATCGTGCATAGGCACCCTCCAGTTTGAAATAATAGGGAAGTCAATCCCGACTGGCACGCCTGCCTCCCAGCGATCTGCAGATGAGAATCTCGCCGCTTTATCGGATTCGGCATAGCGAGGAGGGAAGAGACGAGAAAGCAGGGCAAGGAAACTGCCAGTCGGCAGTTTCAAGGATGAGAAGAGAGCTCTGGGGAACCGGACATCGAAGGACCAGATGTACGGATAAGTCCTCGGCTTACAACAGTTGATTTAGTGACCATTTGAAGTCACGGTGTCACTGAAAAAGGGAGGTGGGATCGTTTTTTCACTTTTATGACCGTTGCAGCCTCCGTGCGTTCACAGGATTTACGTTTGGTTGCTTGGCAACTGACTCACATTTATGAGGGTCACAGTGGCCCGGAGTCATGTGTGATTCCCTTTTGTGACCTTCTGGCAAGCAAAGTCAAGGTATAGGGTTTCCTGCCTAAGCAGGGGGTTGGACTAGAGGACCTCCAAGGTCCCTTCCAACTCTGTTATTCTATTCTATTCTATTCTGTTCTGTTCTATTCTATTTCCCATTCTATTCTATTCTATTCTATTCTATTCTATTCTATTCTATTCTATTCTATTCTATTCTATTCTATTCTATTCTACTCTCTATTCTCCATTCTGTTCTATTCTATATTCTACTCTACTCTACTCTATTCTACTCTACACTACTCTACTCTATATTCTAATCTATTCTATATTCTAATCTACTCTATTCTATACTATTTTATTTTATTCCATATTCTATTCTGTTCTGTTCTACTCTACTCTATTCCTATTCTATTCTATTTTCTATTCCATTTTCTATTCTATTCCATATTCTATTCTATTCCATATTCTATTCTATTCTGTTCTGTTCTGTTCTATATTATAGAACCCTTTTCCTGATACATCTGATGGCCACATTAGGAGAAACTAAGGCTGCCTTTGGCTGGGTCTGGCCCAGAAACCCCCAGAGCTGGACCTGTCCCCAGATGAGTAGAAGACCATTAAAGTCACGCTGTGCTCTCTCCCTTAATCCCAGCCGCCATATCGCATCGATTTTGTCGATCGACTTCTCTGCTCTGATACCTCTCTGCTCCTCGCCAAAGCCCACATGAAGCTTTGGTGTATTGCCAACAAATTAATCAGCACCTATCGAACTGCTGGATGATGGCACCCGAAGCTCACGACGGCAAGCACACCGCCTTGTTAAACAAGCATCTGTTACACCTGGGACTCCTCTTTACATCAAGCGGCTCTTTTACCAACCCAGTTCTCCTGGGAATGTCCCTTCTCGAAAGCCAGCATGGAGAGGTCTTGGGTTTTTTTATTTTTCCTGGACAGATCTGTTGTCCTTTGTCCATGTTCCGTGCGCCGGCAGAAAAGAGGGCCAGCGTAATTACAACCGTTTGGGACCAAAACGCTTTGGGAGAAATTTCTCCAAATCTAAGATCCATCATCCATCCATCAGAGGGATAGAATCAAGATCACGTGAAGTGTTACTACCACTTTACAAGGCCTTGGTAAGGCCACACTTGGAATACCGCATCCAGTTTTGGTCACCACGATGTAAAAAAGATGTTGAGACTCTGGAAAGAGTGCAGAGAAGAGCAACAAAGATGATTAGGAGACTGGAGGCTAAAACACATAAGGAACGGTTGCTGGAATTGGGTATGTCTAGTTTAATGAAGAGAAGGACAAGGGGGGACATGATAGCGGTCTTCCAGTATCTCAGGGGCTGCCCCAAAGAAGAGGGAGTCAAGCTATTCTCCAAAGCCCCTGAAGGCAGGACAAGAAGCAACGGGTGGAAACTAACCAAGGAGAGAAGCAACCTAGAACTAAGGAGAAACTTCCTGACAGTTAGAACAATTCACCAGTGGAACAATCTGCCTCCAGAAGTGGTGAATGCTCCAACACTGGAAGTTTTTAAGAAAAGACTGGACAGCCATTTGTCTGAAATGGTATAGGGTTTCCTACCTGAGCAGGGGGTTGGACTAGATGACCTCCAAGGTCCCTTCCAACTTTATTATTATTATTATTATTATTATTATTATTATTATTATTATTATTATTATTACTATATTAGATCCGAAGGGCCCCACTGAGCTGCAATCTTTCGATTAAACCCTAATGTGGTTTAAGTTCCACTCTTTCAAGGTGGGTTATTCTGGGCCGGGCCCTTTCTTTTAAAAAACGAAATACAGGTAGTCCTGACTTACAACAGTTTGTTTAGTGACCGTTTGAAGTTACAACGCCATTGAAGAAAGGGATTTATGACCGTTTTTCACACGACCACTGCAGTAGACCCAGGATCCCCGGATCAAAATTCAGAGGCTTAGCAAATGACTCACATTTGTGACGGTCGCAGCGTCCTGGAGTTACGGGATCCCCTTTCGCGGCCTTCTGACAAGTGAAGTCAAGGGGGAAGTGGATTCATTTAACGACCGTGTGACTAAGTTAACAAGGCAGTGATTTCACTTAACAACTGGGGCGAGAAAGGCCGTAAAATGAGGCAAAATTCACCCGTATGGATGGATGTCATGTCAGATTATCAACCAGCCAGTGGAACAGCTTGCCACCAGAAATCGTGGGCGCTCCATCGCTGGAAGTTTTTAAAAAGAGACTGCACAATCACCTGTCTGAGATGGTATAGGTCCTCCTGCTTGAGCAGGGGGCTGGACTAGAAGACCTCCAAGGTCCCTTCCAGCTCCGTTCTATTCTAGATCCTGTCTTGGGGTGATGAATTTGTGAAGGGCCCCGTTTGCTAGCTGTGTAGCTAACTGCTTGTCTTGTTCTTATGTATGTGTTATTTAACTGGGACTTTTGTAGCATTTTTATTGTTTTGCAATGTTTTTAATTATATACATTTGAATTGTAAGCCAGTCAGAATCATGGACTAATATAGAGGTTATAGGAACTGAATGAATGAACGAAGCCAGGGATAAACTTGGCTGTGGGAGGAATATTATTGCTTTTTCAACCTGCTAAAAAATTCAAGCAAGTTGTAAAAATGCCCAGTGCTGGACGTTAAAAAGAGTCTAAAATTTTATATGTTATCTGGCTGTATTTCTAACTGGCCATGTAAATTTAATCTGGACGTTCTCAGTCTTTTTAGTGCTTTTAATTGTTTTAAAACGTTTAAAACTGCTTTTTCCAGTTTTCAATTGTAAAATATTTCTTTCGGTATTGAACGGTAAGCTGCACAGAGATATTTTGAACTGTTTTTATATCTTTTTCTGCATTGAATTGAAAGATGCAATATATTGACTCGGAAGGAAGGGGGGGAAATAGAATAAATAAGTAAATAAGTAAAAAGGATCACTGACTCATTTTTTTCCCCTCTCCTAGCCTGCATTTAAAAATCACCCGGCTGCGTTTTATGATAATTCTGCTGGAAACCCCAAATTTACTTCCACGTTTTCAGCAAAACTGCCCCATAGAGAACCACTGCTTTGTTTAACAAACCTGGCATTTCCTTAATGGCCAGGATAAAGGCTATAAACTCAAGACTGGCTATGTGAGTCACCCCATTTTACGACCGTCATGACTTATAACCACGGTGGGCAGAGAATATATCGTCGTATTACAGAAAAGCAGTAAGGGAGACTTACCTCGTACAGTAAGCAGCCCAAAGACCAAATATCTGATTTAAAATTATAGCCGTTTTCGTGTATTCTTTCCGGCGACATATAATACGGTGTTCCCACTGTAATAGACAAGATGAGGCAAAAGCGGTTAGAATCCTTGGTTTTAAGGAAAGACCGGGGTGACGTCATGCTCCATTCCAGCGACGTCGCCCCCAAAGTGGACGACATTGTCTGTTCTTTCTAGGGAAAGCCTAATATATATATATATATATTTACTTTTTGCCTGGCACCAAACCAGCTGGGGTTTCGGAAAAGACCAGGGCAGGGGTGTCAAAACTGCCAGCCCGCAAGCCGGATGCATCATAGCGAAACGACACCCATCCCATTGCCGGCAATGGGGGAAAAAAGTCACGACACGTCACGTGACGTTGTGAGTTTGACACCCCTGGACGAGGGTGATGTAATGCTGCATTCCAGGAACGTTGCCCCCAAAGTGGACAACATTGTTCTTTCTAGGAAAAGCCTGACTTTTTTTGGGTGGTGGGGGGGACTTTTTGCCTGGCACCAAACCAGCTTGGGTTTCGGAAAAGACTAGGGCAG